CGCCACAGCGGAATCAACCTCTAACTATCGGGTATATGTTTTAAGCAGCCCTAGGGCGTATATAATAGTTATTTTAAAACACAGTATTCAGCTGAATGTGCAGTTTAACTGTCATGTGATTGATGCTGACAACGGAGTAGAGTATCCAGTTGCAGATTATTACAAGAATGATCAGGCAGGCAACGGTCAACAGGGTCAAACAGGTACATGCAGAGCAATCCAAAGTCATGGTCAAAGAACAGGCGAATAGTCTGTACAGGCAGCAAGGAATCAAAACTATCAAAACACTAGAGCTGTGAACCTACACTAGTCTCACGGTTAGGTTCGGCTACGATTCGGTTCAATTCGATATCTCTGTGCATCACGGTAAATTGACGGTGCTTTTCATACACAGTTTTATATTTTCTTCACAGCAGCGATTCTTCTTGTATTAAAATGTATGAATATATTTATATTTATATACTATTTGTAATTCAATTGAGTCATTTAATACAAACAGTCAGATATATAAACTGTCCCTTTAAACAACACAAGCATTTAGCAAATAATATAAACAAATATAAATATCCAGCTCGCTTTCTATTCCTTGTCTAGTTCTATTACACCCCTTTGTTTGGTCACACCCTCAACAAAACGGTTGTGATTGGCTCTTGCGCGATGCGCTCTTCAGATGAGTGACTCTGATAAGCGACAGGCGGCAGCGGCGATCACAGCTGATCTATGATAGACACGGTGGAGAAAACTCTGCAGACACACGGTCGTGTCTGTATCAAGAAGTAACGTTGTAAAACAGCCGAGAGGAGAAGAGAAGTCACGCCAGCAGGTCAAATGGGTGTGCGTGCGTGCGTGCGTGCATGCATGCTAGTGTGTGTGTGTGTGAGAGAGAAATAGAGTTTCATTCTCTTAATCGCAGTAAAATAGAGGCTTCTGCTGTAAATATCAGCGAAAGACTGATCCAGCAAACACACACGCAGTCAAATTGTGCACAGTTTATGAGTTTTAAGTAGTTGGAGCATTGTAAATACTCGCACTCGCCTCCCTCGCGAAAAAGTGCATATGAGATAAATGATGTCAGTACATAATAACCGGTTATAATTATAACTGAACCGATACCAAATTGTCAGCGTCTGCATCGCGGTGCACCGAAGAAACAATTAATTTTGAGACCCCTACACAACACAATGCAAAGGTCAAAACACAGATAGACTAGACAGTAAAACGTGTTATGTTCACAAACATTATAACAAGACTCAGCACTGTGTGTGTGCAAGCGTGGTGTATTTATAGTCCATGTAATCAGTTCATAGTGATCCTCCGGCCGTGTGTGTGTGTAACCCTGCCAGTCCTACGTCACCCAACCCGCTCCGAGCTGGTATCGAACCGGCGACCTTTCGCATGGGAGTCGGTTGCTCTTCCAAGGAGGCTAAAGACCATGGCCTCTAGCGGCTGTTGCTAGAGCACCTTTAGAGGTCAGAGGAGTGAGGTTAACCTGCACAGCACACACTAGCTGTCCTCCGTTACACTCACCCCCCTAAACCTCACTCCCATCCGGGTCACGGCACCAATGTAACCCCGTCGGTCCTACGCCGCCCAACCCGCTATGAGCTGGTATTGAACCGGCGACCTTCCGCACGGGAGTCGGTTGCTCTACCAAGGAGGCTAAAGACCATGGCCTCTAGCGTTTGTCGCTAGAACACCTTTACCTGCACAGCACACACTAGCTGGCCTCTGTTATATGTGTGTGTAATCAATGTTAAACAGGAACAGGTGTGTGTGAGATGCATGACAGGATTCGGTTCATTGGACAACAGTGGTTTGTTCTGTAGTCAAACAGAAACAAATCATAATAATATTGACCTTAGCACAAACAAAAAAAGTATTAATATTTATTTTATTTTTGCGAAGCTAAAAGTAATAAAAAATCTCCAAACTCAAAAAATAATAGGAAATCCTGCAAAAATGTTTAATTGGGAAATATGTGATTGTCACAAAATGTTTTAAAGTATTGTCTTCAGCCCTATATACAGTGCTATGCATATATAGGTACACTCCTCACAAATCTCTTTTAAATTCACATCTTTAATAGGAAGCTATACAATATTATATTTGTGCGTATAAATTAGTCAGTACTGAAGCCAAATCTGGAGCTCATCTAAAAAAATAACGAATGATAACAGTCCAAAAACAAGTACAGCCAATTTTATGTTATAGGAAAATATTAAATACAAATTTTAAAAACAGGAGAAAAATTTAAGAGAAGCAAAAAAATAAATATAAATAAATAAATAAATAAAAATAAAAATAAAAAAGTTGAAATTTTGTCGTTTGTATTTTTTTTTTACAATGTTTTGCTTTAATTTAATTGTATTTACTCTCAATTTCTAAATATGTTTGGTGACTAAAATATTATTTTATTAAATAAGTCTGTTTTGTTTAAATGCACCAATATACATTGGATAAAAATATTGATGTTAAAAATGGGGTGTACTCGATTATGCTGAGCACTGTAAATACATCTTTTTTCTCTCAAAGAAGTGATCTGATCCTTACAAATGTTTAGCATATTGATCAAATGATCTCTTTAACTGTAAATTACCGACAGCATGAAAGATGAAATCATGAAGGAAATACAAATGCTGCAGCTCACAGTTGTTTACAGGTGCAGGAATGACATCATCATCATCATAAATAATATCTGTGTGTGTATTTATATCTCCTGTAGTCACGGGTTTGAGTCTGTAGCAACGTGTGAAACGAGTCACAGGACTTTCAGCAGTTTTTAATGTGTTTACCGTGTGTGTGTGTGTGTTTGTGTTTGTGTGTGTGTGTGTGTGTTCCTTCAGGCAGCACGTTTCTGTGAATGTGAACATGAGTTCATGCTCCTTTTTGGATTTGGAAAGCGATTCCATGAGCATCTTTTGGAATTTTTGTGTGTGTGTGTGCGTGTGTTTTGTAATCTATAAGCCTCCTAACACTGAATTGTAAAGCCTCAAGCTACTAAAAGGAAAACCCAAAGAGAGAGAGAGAGAGAGAGAGAGAGAGAGAGAAAGAGGGAATGATATGGAGGAGTGGAGATGCTTGTGCTTTTATTAGGAGCTCTTTTCTTCTGTCGTTCATTTTTCCCCTCCATCTCCAAGGATGCCAAGAAGAGAGTGGCAGTTAGAAACAGTCTGTGCATATCTAATATGATTGGGCTTGTTAAAAATAGACCGCACTATATACTCCGTTCCTGAGCTCACACACACACACATACACATGCAATGCTTACAGTTTTGAGTCATACGCAAAGCAAAATGGCAGCATTCTCACTAAAAGCAGGCGATTGGGAATAAAAAACCAGATTGTTCCCCTGAGTTAAAAGATGATGTCATCAATATTTTGTTTTTCGTTTTCATTGTGAGGTCACACTTTTCAGTGCGGTTGCATTAGGTAAATGTATTTATGAAAATGAGCCAAGAAGCATCTATTAATCATAGTTTAACATTTATTACGGTATAAAAATCAAGAGTTGTGCTTGTTAACATTAGTTAATGCACTGAGTTAATAAGAACTAACAATGATGACTTTATTTTTATTTAAACAGGACCTATTATGTCCCTTTTTACAAGATGTAATATAAGTGTCTGATGTCCCCAGAGTGTTTATGTTAAGGTTCAGCTCAAAATACCACACTAATAATGTTTTATAACTCTTTGAAACTGACCCTTTTAGGCTTTGATCCTAATTGTGGCTTTTTGGTGGCTGCCGCTTTAAATTCAAATAAGATTGTGCTCTTTTCAAAAGAGGGCGGAGCTACACATGCCTGTGTCAGCATAGTGGCATATTCAAAAACAAGACTAATGTCCTATGCTATTGAGGGAGAGATGGTCACTAGTGGGCGGGGCTTTTCCCCTCTGATGACACGTACAAAGGAAGAATGTCAATCAAAGTGTTTCTGCAGACTGTTTTTATCAAGTGTGATTATGAAAACTAACATTATTATTATCAGTAGAAGCTGGTTATTATCACAGACTGCTGCCACGCTACTGTGTTTTTGAATGATAGGTCTCCTTTAACTAACATTGACAGAGATTAATAAATACTGGAATAAATATTGTTTGTTTTATGTTCATGTTAGTAAGTACATGAACGTTAAACAATGGATTCTAATTGTAAAGTACCCAATGTAGTTAAAACCCCATCTTGTAATATTCAAAAGTGACCGTAACTGCCCCTTTTTAGTAACTTACCTATATTAATTTAATTTAATTTAGTTTAATTAATTTTTTTAATTGAATGCAAGTTTCATTCTAATGCAGAATTCCCAATTAGTCCAAATTAAATTAAAATTAATTTTATTTAAATGTATTTACATTTTTATTTTATGGATTAAAATTTGTATTGTATTTTATATAATTTTTTTATTTTATTTTATTTCATTTTGTCATCCCAATCACTGTAAATTTAATTTAATTTAATTTAATTTAATTTAATTTAATTTAATTTAATTTAATTTAATTTAATTTAATTTAATTTTATTTTATTTTATTTTATTTTATTTTATTTGCATGATTCACTCTAATACATAATCATCCCAATCAGTCTAAATTTATTTTCATGATTCACTTTAGTACAGAATCACCCCAATCAGCTTTATTTAATTTTATTTTTATTTATTTGCATGATTCACTCTAATACATAATTATCCCAATCAGTCTAAATTTATTTTTATTATTTTTTATTATTTTATTTTATTGCTAATACAGCATCATTCCAATCAATTTAATTTAATTTAATTGCTATTACAGCATTATCTGAATTAATTTAATTTAATTTAATTGCTAATACAGCATCATCCCAATCAATTTAATTTAATTTAACTTCTAATACAGGTTTATCTCAATCAGTCTTATTTTATTTCATTTTATTTTAAGTCCGATATTAGCTTAATTAAAATCATAGCATTTAATCTGCATAATTGAATGTTAGATGGTGCTTTTATCAACTTTTTTTTTTTCTAGATAAGGGCAAGTTCATTCAGACCTCATCTTTCAGCCTGCAAGATCCTTGAAAATAAGAACTTCAGAGCCGAAGCTTTCAGTCTGCTAGAGGAAGTGTAGACAATCATATATAAAGGTGCGTCTGCAGATCTACACAATAAAGTCCTGTTTGATGGATAATTCAGTCTTACACCCTCTTCTTTGCTGTTTAAAAGATGGAGCAGGAGATTTCCAAAGTGCAGCGTAAGATGTCAGACTTGGAGTCAGTTTTGCAGCAGAAAGACGTGGAGCTCAAGGCTTCAGAAACCCAGAGAAACATCTTAGAGCAAGACCTGGCAACCTATATCACCGAATGCAGCGTGAGTGTAATGTTTGAGACTGGAATTATGGCATGGTCTGAGTTGCATGACTTTGTTATTGCTTAGTTAATTATGTGATTTAATAATGTGAATTATTTAAAATGTTAATTTATTTTGTTTTATTTTACTTTTATTTATTAATGTTTTATTACATTTTATTAATTTAAAACTAAATGTTATTATTTTTCATTTTATTTAACTTAAATTTTTTAATTAAATTTATAAAATTTTTAATTTTAATTGTTATTTTATTTTGTTTTATTTTTATTTTACTTTATAATTTGTATTTTATTTATTTAATGTTTAATTATTTTTAATTTAATTAAAATTTTTATTTATTTTATTTGCATTTTTATTATTTTTAATTTATCTAAAATGTTATTTAATATTTAATTTTTTTTTATTAGTTTAGATTTAAAATTTACTCAATTCTATGTAATTTTATTTTATTTATTTAAATGAATTTTTTTGGTTTTATTTTATTTTACTTTAATGTTTTTATTTAATTTAGTTTATTTTATTTTTAATGTTTAATGTTTAATGTTTTTATCTTATTTCATTTGAATTAATTTTTTATTTTGTTTATTTAAATGACAATTTTATTTTTATTTTACTTTATTTCATGTTTTTATTTAATTTAATTATTTTTAATTAAATCTTATTTATTTAAATTTTATCTTATTAAATGTTAATTCTTTTCTTTAATTTTATTTTTTTAAATTTTGATTTTATTTTATTTGCATGGCCAGCATTTTGGTTATGTTTGTTGTTTCAATAAGCGAAGAGCTCATGCACTGAAAAAAGAAAGAAAATATGGTCATTCCAAAGAAAATAAATTAGTCATTCCAATTAAAATTAATTAAATGTGTGTGTGTTTTAGAGTTTGAAGCGCAGTTTGGAGCAGGCCCGCATGGAGGTTTCGCAGGAAGATGATAAAGCTCTTCAGCTGCTGCACGACATTCGAGAGCAGAGCAACAAACTGCAGGAAATCAAAGAACAGGTTTGGATTCAATGCAGTTTATTTATTTAAACTTTTATTTCATTTATTTAAAATTGTTATTTTATTTAATTACTTAATACAATTTTCATTTTATTTCATATATTTTTTATTTTATTTTATTCATTAAAAGTTTTTTTTATTTGATTTATTATTTTTTATTAGTTTTATCTAATTTTTATATATTTATTTTTTTATTTTATGTATACTTTTTATTTTATGTATTTAATTTTTGTTTATTTTATGTATTCAATCTTTTTATTTATTTATTTTTAGTTAATGTATTATTTTTTTATTTATTTAATTTTATATGTATTTTTATTTTTTTATGTATACATTTTTAATGTATTTTTATTTTATGTATTTAATTTTTTTATGTGTTTAATTTTTTATTTTATGTATTATTTTTTATTTTATGTATGATTTATTTTTATTTTATATATTAAATTTTTTTATTTAATATTTGGATTCAATTGTTTTTATGAATTAAATTTTTTTATTTTATGTATTTATTTTTTATGTATCTAATTTCTTTATTTTACAGTATGTATATAATTTCTTTATTTTATGTATTAAATTTTTTATGTTATGTATCAATTTTTTTATAATTTAAAATAGTATTTTGTGTATTTACATTTTATTTTTTAATAACAATTTTTTTTTAATTTTTATTTTATTTAAATTTAAAACAATTTTTTTCAAGGGTCGTTTTATGATGTATTGTGTTTCTATGTATTTATTTTTTATAATTAAAAATTGTATTTTGTGTATTTACATTTTTATTTTTTAATACCATTTTTTTTATTTGTATTTTATTTAAATTTAAAACGATTTTTTTTCAAAAGCCATTTTATGATGTATTGTGTTTCAATAAGCGGAGAGCACATGCACTGCATTTATACTTTTTTTTTTAATTTAACGGATCCAAACACAAATTAATCTGACTGCTCATTTGTCTGTGCTCAGGACCGTGCGAAGTTACCACTGGACCCTGTTTTCCCGTCTGATCCCTGCTCTGGTTTCTCCTAGCCCTAGCACCGCACTGACTTGTTACATTTATCTTGATGTGTCGATAAATATTCTTTCACTTGCACTTGGATCCATCTGAACATTCTTTGTTTGTGACAAAAAACAGACACTTCGAAAGAGCGCACAAACCTGCAACCGTGACATTGGTCCAGTGGTAACTCCGCACGGTCCTGAGCACAGACAAATGAACACATAAGCACATGTAACGAACTGACAAGGAAACATAGAAAACGTCGCACATATATAGGCACGATAAAGAGCCTCAGCTGGCGAACTAATCAAACCAACTGAGTGCCGTCATAACACGTGACCAAAACAAATACATGTGGGCAACAAAAACAAAACAAACCCACATGATCAAACAGACACTCCGGAAGAGCGCACAAACCTGCAACCGTGACAAACAAAGGCCGAGGCAGAATTGTGCAAAGCTTTATAAGTGAAAAGAAGAATTTTAAAATCAACTCTATTTTATAGGTAGCCAGTGCAATGAGTCGAGGACAGGGGAGATATGATCTCTTTTCTTAGTTCCTGTTATTAATCTGGCGGCTGCATTTTGGACCAACTGTAGCCGAGAGAGTGTTGACAGAGGTAGGCCAATATACAAAGAGTTGCAGTAGTCTAACAGAGAGGAGATTAAAGCATGGGTTACGATTTCTAAATCTTGTTTAGAAAAAAAGGGTTTAACTTTTGCCGCCAATCTAAGCTGGAAAAGGCTGCTCTTCACTACCGCATTTACATGTTTGTCAAACTGCAAGAGTGGATCAAAGATAACTCCGAGATTTTTGGCGTGATTGTGCAGATTGTCATTTAGGACTCCTAGCTGAGTTTTAATTGAATTGTTGGTAGCAGCAGGACCTAATATTAACACTTTTACTACTTTATTTTTTCCTGCATGCGGGGATTAGAAAAATCAGCCCTTCATTTCATGTCCAATCAAATCACACATATGAGATAAATCGCCTCATAATGAACTACCTCAAGACATGGGCGATTTATAATTGCAGCAAACTGTTTGGAAGCAATAAAAGTGTCCAATAAGATGTCCAAAATCTTTACACTCATTGACCCAGAGACTGTTTAGATCAGGGGTGTCAAACTCAATTCCTGGAGGGCCGAAGCCCTGCACAGTTTAGTTCCAACCCTGCTCTAACACACCTGTAGGTTTCAAACAAGCCTGAAGGACTCAATTAGTTTGATCAGGTGTGTTTAATTAGGGTTGGAACTAAACTGTGCAGAGCTGCGGCCCTTTTGGAACTGAGTTTGACACCTGTGGTTTAGATGCACGTCACTGATGAGAAGATGACGGATGTTTACTGTATGATGACCGAAATGGCCTTAAACACCCAGCAACGCACAGGACATCAACATGACGTTAGATTGACATTGTCCCCCAGTGTCGTGGAGACGTTGCAGTTTGTTTGGAAATGAAAATCATGTTGTCGTCAGAACTCACCGTCAGGCCAACGTTCAACCTGAAATCAACCAAATATGAACGTCTAATGATGTTACAACGTGACGTTGTTTGGATGTTACCACTGTGACGTCTATCAGACGTTGGATTTTGGTTGCCATACCTGAGGAATAAATGTCAGTGTTTGACATCAATATGATGTTGGTTTAAGATGTTGGCTCGACGTTGGATTTTGGTCACCTACGAACACAACCTGAAATTAACCAAATATTAACGTCTAATGATGTCACACCTTGACGTTGTGTGGACGTTACCACTATGATGTCTATCAGATGTTGGATTTTGGTTGCCATACCTGATGAATATATGTCAGTGTTTGACGTCAATCTGACGTTGGTTTAAGATGTTGTTGATAATGTCTCATGACATTGTGTGCCTGCTGGGCAATAACTAAGTGCACTACAGAATGTTACGTTTACACACATGCACAAATTACATGTAAATGCATCAGCTCTTCACAGTGTAATACTCGCTACTCTTGAGTACTTTAGAAAGGTCTCATACTTTGAGTAAAATTGACAACAGATACTTTTACTCTACTTACACTACATTTTAAGGCAAGTAATGGTACTTTTGCTTGAGGATGATTTTTCAGTACTCTTTCCACCACTGGCTGTTTGTTTAAACCACTTATTTAAAATGAACTGAATCGCAACACAATTCTTGATCTTTTTGGGAAATGATGTTGAACAGAGCAAGGAATTTTTAACAGTATTTTTTATAATATTTTTTCTTCTGCAGGAAGTTTTTTTTTTTTTATTTCTGATAGAATAAAAGCAGTTTTGAATTTTAAAAGCCATTTTAAGGTCAATATTATTAGCCTCCTGTAACATAAATTAGCTCATTGTATGAATATTAATAATCAACAATAACGGTTTATTCTTAATTATTAATATTCCGGCTTAAGCTTCAGTCAATTTGGTCAAACAAACATATGATTGTATATGATCCTGCCGCGCGACCGAGCAGACTCTCAGATTATGAATATCAATTATCAACAATAACGAATTATTATTAATCATTAATATTCTGGATCAATTTGTTGTTAATTTGACCAAACAAACATAACCAGAGCCGCCGCTCTTCCGAGCGGACACGGTAATGATCTATTCATTTAGAAAAAGGAGATTATTGATACTTCTTGTGAAGTAGATTAATCATTCATAAGTTTTAATTAACTTATAGAAAAGGTCATTGAAACACAGATTCCCCTGCCTAGCTGTTATGAGGCAAACAATACAATTCATTTGATTATCATTTGATTCATTGACTAGTCAGACAGATAACGGACAAACGCACGAACATACATCATACATAGAACAAAGGTAAACCACATGGAGATCGGCTATACGGGTCTATAGAACATGTAACAAGAAATGCTTGTAGTTTCTGCCAACTCGACTCTACACCATAACTTTTCAATCCAGATGGACGGGGCAACCATTACTGCATCCAAAATGGTGAAAAGCCTTGGAGTAACGATTGATGACCAACTAAATTTCTCTGACCACATTTCTAGAACTGCTCGATCGTGCAGATTCGCACTCTATAACATCAGAAAGATCCGACCCTTCTTATCTGAACATGCAGCTCAACTCCTTGTTCAAGCTCTTGTTCTCTCCAAACTGGATTACTGCAACTCTCTACTAGCCGGGCTTCCAGCTAACTCTATCAAGCCTCTTCAACTGCTCCAGAATGCAGCAGCATGAGTGGTCTTCAATGAATCTAAAAGAGCACATGTCTCTCCGCTGCTCATCTGTTTGCACTGGCTGCCAGTTGCTGCTCGCATCAAATTCAAAGCTCTGATGTTTGCCTACAAAGTGACTTCTGGCCTAGCTCCTTCTTATCTGCTCTCACTTCTGCAGATCTATGCGCCCTCCAGAAACTTGCGTTCTGTGAATGAACGTCGCCTCGTGGTTCCATCCCAAAGAGGGAAGAAATCACTTTCGCGAACGCTCGCGCTCAATCTGCCCAGTTGGTGGAATGAACTCCCTAACTGCATCAGAACAGCAGAGTCACTCGCTACTTTCAAGAAACGACTAAAAACTCAACTATTTAGTCTCCACTACACTTCCTAATCTGCAATTGCCTCTCTGAATATCACACTAACTGTACCAAAAAAAAAAAAAAAAACACTAATACTACTAATACTTCCCTTCTTAGACTTTACAGACCTGAAACTTGCCTACAGCACTTATTTATTGTTGCTCTTAGTTGTGTAAATTGCTTCCTTGTCCTCATTTGTAAGTCGCATTGGATAAAAGCGCCTGCTAAATGACTAAATGTAAATGTAAATAGTAAAGCGAGGAAATAGAGATTTCAGATAAAGAGTGACAACTTTCAGTTCCACACGCACCATTAAGGATCACCAAGATTATAAAAACAAAAACACCTTTTTTGATAAAAGGGGCACAGCTTGATCGCATAACTAAAAATACCTGAACTTTAATGTCTGGGGTCTCTCCCTTTTGCTCCCGTCGTGATGAAACTCCTTTGATGT